AATAAATTTGTTAAAATACTACTCTGTTTTATGCTTATTTCTGCCAACACATAGCATCTCAAATTTGGTCTGWCATCAGTGGGTCTGATTGTGGTGCAAAAGGCAAACAGAGGCCCTCTTTGGGCAGCAGTGTCTGAACAAAGTGATAGGAAGAGGAGTGAAGCAGGGTGATGAGCGGAGCAATGCAGAGACCAGGATAGAGGAGATGGGATCGATGATTGTCCACAGGGGCATGTCTTGGTGAGTCCAGAAGTGAGTCTGGTTTTGAGCAAGAAGGTAATCACTGATTTGGGATGATGTCGGGGACCTTGGAGTGGTCATTGAAGAGACATCAGGCAGGAAAGAGGAGAATTTAAAGTGAGTCCAGAGTAATGTTGGAAAAAGCAGGAAAGGATGGAAGAGGAGGCCTGGGAGGGAGAGTCAGAGAGTTTGGGGATTGAGACAGTCAGTCCTGGAAGGTAGCAGGAGTAATCTGTGGAGCCCTATGGTCAGCCAACAATTAATACATTATGCCCCAGGCCAAGGCAGGAAGATTGCAGTCTGGGAGAAATCAATGCTCAGGATGTCAGGACTGCTCTGTTCTCTCATTCACTGAACCTTGTTTAGATTCTGAAATGTAGCAATCCTTGTATCTTAATTGGTATTTTGGTGACATGCAATTACAACATTTATGCCTTCCAGTTCACGCCTATGAAAAAAAATATGGCCCATGAAACCATTAATCATGTAAATTCCATACCATTTTTAAAATCCCACATATAAAGGTTAATTATGATGTTGCCAATTGAAAAACTGCGTATTGTTGTCATTGACAGTTCACAAGTCTTTTAGGGAGCAAAAATGGCGATACAAGTAAGGAAGAACATGAACTGAAGTTTAAAGTTCTTTGAGGGTTCAAGTCACTTCATTAAAAAGCTTTACAGGAAGTAGGAGTGAAAAATTTCACGAAGTTATTATATATTTTTACACTGAAAAGGGTGGAAAATACATAAATTTGGTGGTTACTTATGAAAGTGAAATAATTTATTGCCTCCTATCCATACATGCAGCCTTTTTACAAAAAGGCTGTTGAACAATCCATCTACTATGGCAGCAGCTCAAAGACAGTTCTGCTACTGGGGTTGTCACTTTTCCTACCAGTACAGTCACCTTTGCCCTCACACCAGTTTTAAGTCATGGAAGTTTTCATTTTGAGTAGCATTAATTTGGATTGCCACCAAGTACCCTGGGGAGGAGAGTCTAACAAAAAGTACACTCACAGCTGTAACTCAGAGAAGAGCAAATGATTACCTCAGAGAAATAGTTGTCTAGGAAGGCCATGTTCACGCCTCCTTCTCGATACTCTTTTATCGTTCCTCCAATCGACCCTTTTACTTCCCCTGTTCCAGAAATTCCTCCAGCTGTTCCGTAGCCAGTACCAGTGCCATAGCCAACCCCTGTAGTTTCTTCAGCACCAGAAGCTACTACTCCTCCTCCTCCATATGTGTTATTATATATGTCTGAAAACAGAAAAAAGTTATCCTTCCAGTGCTCTGTTAAACTTTGTGCACAATTTTTCAGTTGTTTTACAAATGCTATAATGACACTGTTGAGTTTCTAAAGGTGTTTTAGACCAATTTCAGTCACAGGTACATGCACAGGTATGAAACATTGAAACTGCAGTAGTAATTAAATGCCTATTAATGGGCATCTAAGACTTTGATTTTATTCCTGAGGCTAGGCAGCATGGACACATTAGAAAACACATTTTATTGTGTTTTAGAAAATCAATTATTTGCTTCTGTGATTGGCTGAAAAGACTTTTCTATCTGATATATATATATATGTGCTGTCATGGTGTTTGTGTTAGAAAATCAGGTAATGTTTATGGATGTTTTTGCAAACACATAAATGTATATTTATGATCATATTGGGGTTAAAATTATTTTTCCTTACACATTTAGAAAAGAAAGAGTTTTGTAAATTCTAGAAAAGAAAGAATTTTGTAATTCCTTTTGCATTTTCTAGGAGTGAGGTTCTTTGGGGAGAACAACAATGGATGAAAATAACCACAAGTTTATAATCCAAAATAAAAATAGTCTTTACAATCAGCATTAAAGTAATACAGGATTTTATCTTCTCCAGATTTTTTTTAATACATGATAATGAGGAAATAGTTGTCTTAATGATCAGCATGTATTATAATAAAAGAATTTTATAGAGTGGTCTTAACTGGTTACACTGGGAAACATAGGCTAAATTGTATATCATTTTCATTTTTATGAAATGAGAACATACGAGAACATTTTTGTATAATAAATATCCAGGAGAGAAATTGTCATGCAGAGTAACATTTCTTCCTGTCAGGAGCTGGTGAAAATGTATCTGTGCCAGCCTCCTTCCTTCCTATCCTGAAGTAAGGAATGGAGGAGAAAGAGAAAGTGGCACTGCACAACTTGATTTATTCTCTGTGATCGTTGAATTCCTGGAGGTGGCCTATCTCAGAAGCACAAATTTATTGTGCTATGTACCAGCTTGTCTAGCTAAGTACACAAATTGTCAGTAATTAACCAGCTACCTGACATCCTATCTTGTGGGAAGCAGAGATGAAACCGGGAAGAACTTTTATCTGAGTTATGAAAGCAAATTTCCTTATTCTGTCTCCAGACTGATTTCTGCTAGAACTGGTGTCTTGAAAAACCCTCCATTCGTAGTTGCACTGATGAAAAAAAAATTGCCTGGGATTTGACAGCCATGGCAGGTATTTTAAAGTAAGTGTAGCTTGCAGAAATTAATCTGCTCAAAAGTTCAAACACCGGACTTTTTATTCACATTGGAGGTCTTGCCAGCATTAATTTGACTATCTGCAGGTGTGAGATTGGAAGGGTTTGATTATAGCTGGGAAACTAAAGGACTCCATGAATCAGAAGGCATTGAAGCTCTGAAAGATAGTTTCATTACAGCACAACATAGAAGATTTAAGAAGATTTAGAGATCTGCTTACCAGAAGGTTCACCAAAATCACCTCCTGCAGCTGTTGTTGGGCCAAGAATATGTGAGACATCCTGGAAAACAACATTTTGACTCCTTGAATGATTACCTTGAAATTTCCATATGAAGACCAAGACTTTGTGAATTGTGTTAAGGAATTAGCAATCCAAAATATTAATGATAGTTAATAAATATCACTGTCTTCATTAACAAACAAAACATAACAAAAAAAGAGACTACAAGCTTTTCATTATCAACACAATAATCTGTAAAGATGATTTGTTGCATTTTTCTAAACTTGCAAAAAAGAAGCTTGCTAGTTAACATGTTTCATCTAAAAAAGTCGTGACACCAAACTTTTATGCCAAGCTAACTGACCACAGCTTAAAACACATAAACTCCATCAGTGAATGGTAATTAAGAATCACCTTTCATATCTGGCAATTGTTGACACTGCCAGACTTGTTTTAGATGACACAGTGCTACTGTCTATAGCAGTGAAAGTGAAACCTTCTCTAGCCAAATGCAGCCTTTTCTCTAAATATGACACATGGGATGTACTGACCCTGTCTTCAGGTTGTGCACCTTCTATTCCCCATGGATGAATTGCCCCTTCTGTGCATTCAGGTACAGGTTCAAATCCAGTTCCAACTCCACCTGCGGCGCCAGGTCCACAGCCACAACAGTCACTCATTGACATCAAAATTGGGATCACTTAACAGGAAGGAAACAGGAAACAAGGATTTAGGACATCTCTTCCTCACAGGAATAGCTGCTTTCCCCAGAGGGCAGGTGCTCGTGAACTTTTGAAAATATGTCTTTAAAATGTTTCTAACCAAGCAGCCTGTAAGTCTGGCTTTCAGAAGCATTAACTGCTTTAGGAGATGCATGTATTCTGAAATTCAGAATAATTTGTGCCTCTAGTCATAGCAGAGCAACACAGGGGTGGGGCTGTTACTCCAAATTTATGCTTATGCACCTGGGAACAGACTTTGATCTACCTCAGCTGAGCCAATATAAGTTGCATACATATGAAAATTAAACGAACAGAACAAGTCTTGCTATGTATAGCATTCAGTGCTATTCTTGCCTGATATATAAGCATAAATTGGTCTCTTCAAATATTGTAATTGAAAAGAAATACACTTTAGTAACAATAGACATATGCAAATCAGTGGAGAGATGGCCACCTGACTACAGTGATCTTTGGCTAAGGCTCCAGCTGCAATTTTCACATCAAGTATACATAATGCTTGATTTGAAAAAACAGTGGAGGCAACCCCCAAGCCCTAGTTTCACAAAATGTTTACATAGAGTGAGTCAGCTTTCCCAGAGTGCTGCATTAGACTTAGTTGTTTAAAGAACTCGGTGTTGGAAATTGCAGAATGTTGTCAAGGTCAGCATCAAAAACACATCTTATTTTAGAAAGGCAGTACAAGATTATTTCGTAGAATCATAGAATGGCTCGGGTTGGAAGGGATCTTAAAAACCATCTCATTCCAACTCCGCTGCTGTGGGCAGGGACACTTTCCACTGACCAGGTTGCTCAAAGCCCCATCCAGTCCAGCTTTGAACACTTCCAAAATTGGAACAATTCTCTGGGCAACGTGTGCCTCTGTCTCATCACCCTCACAGGAAAGAATTTCTTCCTAAACCTACTGCCTTTCAGTTTAAATCCATTGCTCCTTGTCCTGTCACTACATGCCCTTGTAAAAAGTCCCTCTCCAGCTCTCTTGCAGGCCCCCTTTAGGTACTGGAAGGCTGCTCTGAGGTTTCCTTTGGAGCCTTCTCCCAACAGTCCCAACYCYCTCAGCCTGTCTTCATAAGAGAGSTGCTCCAGCCCTATGATTACTGGAACATCAAAGGGAAATGAAAAGGGGAAAGGACAATACCATATACCAAGGGCTACCTTATACAGCATGACTAAGGACAGATTTAATCCAGACTACCAGGGGAGATCTCCAAAGGCAGAAAGACAGTCTGTCCTGTGAGACTAACCATCTGAGAACTACAGATTGAACAACCTTTGAGAGCTTCAGAATTTTGTGTTTGTATAAGGTTACTGACAAAGTAACCTTATTTTAGAAGAATTAGAAAAAAATACCATTTACATTACTTAAAAAAGTAATAAAACTGTTTTCTTAATTTTATACTTACGAACAAATATTAATCCACCGAGAAACATCAGGCCAATGGCAGCACCGCTAAGTGTGGTATTTGATTGGTAGTCTCTGCCGTAATTTTCTCCTCCAGTGTAACTATCATCAGTGGATGCAGTGTATCCTTCCTCACCTCCTTCATATCCATCTGTATAACTCTCCCATTCTGTGTGGGGCTGATAATCTCCATATCCCGCATCACCACCATCACCACCTTGCTGGCCTCCTCCATCTTCCCGGCCTCCTCCAGTACCCCCACCACCACCAGTTGTGCCACCACCAGTGCCACCACCAGTGGCACCACCAGTACCACCACCAGTGCCACCACCAGTGCCACCACCGGTGCCACCACCAGTGCCGCCACCACCACCACCACCACCGATGATAATTATTCTTGTGGCCCCACTGGTGCAGTAATTCCGACTGTCACACTGGCAAGCCTGCACAGGAATTATGTGTGGTCTAGCGCAGCGTCGGCCTTGGCTATCTCTTACAACCACATGGATCCTGTAAAGGTAAAAGTCTATGTTCTGGCCCACTAGCTCTGCAGAGGAACCTTGGAGTGAAAAGAAAAGGAGAAAAATATTTAGATGAAGGTATTGACTATAAGTGCTCTACAAATCTACGACTCTTGTGTGTTATGTTCAAAAAACAGGATGAAACGAAGTCTTCCTTTTCTAAGCACCCCAATTACTTATGCATCTACAGGACTTATTCAAAGCTGAAAAATATAATATTCRCMTCTGCTTGTTTTTTTTTTYTTGGAAAACATGAGCCAAATCAGTCTAGTTATCACTTTTAAACTTGGGAAATACCAAAGGGCAGATGCAATTTTTTATTTATGCTGCTGCTTTTCCTGATTTTTATTCACACAATGGTAAGCATAAAAATTGAAAGTTTTATGTGTTTCTTTTTCATCTCACAAAGAATTGATGTATGTTTTTCAAAAAGTTTTCAGTAGATTTAAAATACTTTAAATTACATATTTGCAACTGTTTAGGACAGGTAGGAGACTCAAAAATAGTTTCAATTTTGATATTTGTCATTTAATATAGTCTTCTATGCATACAGTAAGTTACGCAAATTCTGTCATTTTGTAATGTATGAGATTTGATTAGTGCATTAGCTTGTTATGTCCTATTGAGGGAAACTGGCAAGGTTTCAATGGACATTGACTAAAACAGTTTCCTTTAAAATGCAAGTAGTATGACTGGTACAATGCATTGCAAAAGTTATAATCTTAATTTGCCATTTTCATATGCCTCTCATAAAAGTAAAGCTCTGCTAACTATAACTTTATACTCTAATAATAAAATTTTAGAGTTTTTTCATGTGCTTAGTATATTTTGATAATATAGAAATGAAAAAGTATAAATTACTCCTTTTGATTKACCTCATTATGTTTAGACCAGTAAAGSTTCTTTTTATAGCCATACTCRAAGTRAGTTTTGCTGCTCTATTTTTATCASTAAATTTTCACTTTCCTTTAAAAGGTAACACATGTAATAATTCTGATCCTAGTTATAATATGATTTTACATACATCCATATGTATACATGCATATATTCAAATTTGGAGCAACTTCTTACATTAATATTTAACTGAGATTTGAATAGATTCTAAAAAGTGTTTTTTTGGTAATAAAATATCATCCTAATCAGTTGTCTCAGATAAGAGCTGACTACAATTTATTCTTTTGTAAAATGTTGGTTAATTTACCATTTATTCGTCTGATAATCCATGTAGTCTGAGGTTCACCATGTATGCTGAATGTAAAGGGGGTAGCATATAGATCACCATCCCTGGGCTTTGCTGAGATAATCACTGATGGGGAATGCATACATACTTTCCTCATTTCAGTATTAATAGTTGGGCAATTGGTATTGACGTCATCTATTGAAAGCACAATGGTGCCAGTAGCAGTATATCGAGGAGACCCTGTAAAAAGAAGATATTTATGGTCAGGAGGAAATATTGATACTATAAATAATGCAGTTAGGATTGGAAAATTAGAAACAGAAAAAAAAATGAGAGAAATCTGGAACAAAAAGAGTTTATTTTAGAAAACTTCATCTCCTTTCTTACCTCTGGTGATAGCCAGAACCTCTGCTTGGTACTGCCCATTGACTATGTAGACTGAATCCCGGCTAATGACCTTGTTCAGGGTGATTTCACCAGTGTTTTGATTGATTCTGAACCAGGCAGCTGGATCACGTCCTATGCTATATCTGTGTTGGGTGAAGTAAAATTACTCAGCATTATGTTATGAATATATTTATTAATTATTTATTTTACAGATAAAATTTGGCACTTTGGAACATTTTTCTTTAGGCTCTGCTAGGTCCTATTGYATTTCACTCAGTTCAAGCAAAATCYRTGYAGACTCCAAAAGATGTAGTCCAGAAAAGTAATTAGGAATAAAGCAAATGTGTAGAAGCCTATATTTTGAACTATAGAAAATTATATTTTGAAAGTAGCATCATAATCTAAAAGTAAAAATTTTTTGGATCTTGTAAACCTTTACTAGTACCCTTGTTGATCCTGTAAACCTTTTCTAGAATCCTTGTTGATGACAGTGGTTAAATCCACAACTCTTCCTACAGCATTCTACAGTTTTATTTGCTAACACATTTCTCTATTTTATGAACTTCTAAAAGATATTTTTAAATAGGCTATATTTTTTTTTCTACATACACTGAAAAGCAAATTATGGTCCCAGTTATTATCGTTAATTTAAAGAAAAATAAGTGTAAATATTTTTTTTCTATAGAATTAGCTGGTAGTGACCTCTTCTATTCTGAGTGGATAATATGACCATTACTGGGATTTTGTGCCTGTTTTTTAAAGATGCTAACAACTTCTCTATTTGTAGCAAACTTTTCAAGAAAAAGTATTCTTAGACTGAGTTAGAAAAAGAACCCTTATTCTAATCTATCCAATTTACAGACTGTTAGAAAAATGATATTTTCTGTGTGTTTTGCATAAAGTTAATTAAAGTAGGTGAGGAAAGAAAAGCAGCTACAGCATAAAAATGGGCTGGAGAATATACTATTGCCATTTTTCTATTGCTAATCAATAAACGTTTTTTTCTAAGGCATCCTTTAAAATACCTATTCCTCATCCCACTGAAATCTCAAAAGAATTATTCCATTCAGGGAGTTAAGCAGAGCAGAGCTTACACAACGTTTGATGCGATAGCTCTGGTGTCCTCATCCATGGCTGTGTAGGTTCCTATAACATAATTCGCTTTTGCGCCATGTGCCAGGTTAAACACAACTGAAGATGGGTGAAATCTTGGTGGTTCAATCAAATTTTTTACTTCTATTGTGAGGGGTGTTCCAAATATTTGATAGTCCTGTGCGACAGAGTGGTGGAAGGCAGCTACATTCCTGACACCAATCATCAGTGAGTGACTTCGAAGCTGTTCATAATCCAGTTCCTAAAAGGTAAACCACAGAGAACTAGATAATAAAAAAAAGCTCCTTTAATTTTATTTAAATATTTTTTTTACTTTAAATAGTTGAGTGACAGTGTTTTTACTGCCTGTTTAATTCTGTTCACAATTAATTAAAATTTTAGGATGATTATTTTAAGAGCTGAATCACAATATTTATCCATACCTTAATTACTCTAAGGATTCCTTGATTTGTAGCTCGATCTGTAACAATTTCAAAACAGTTATCTTCATTACCGGATATAAAGAAAAACTCTGCTAACCAGTTGTCTGTAAACTCTTCATCAGCATCCAGAGCTTGTATTCGTAGCAGTTCTGAACTGAGAGAATTTTCTGAAATACTTGCTGAAAACTGGAATGACAGATAAATACCTATTAGCAAACATTAGATATATATAATGTGGGGAAAACACAGCTGTCTGCAGAGATGCTTTTGAAGGGTGTTTTGAACATAGTCGAGAACAATTTAATAAAAAAATATGCTTTCTGCTTAAACTGTGATTGTGGTTGCAGAGCTGAAAAGCTGTATCATCTCAAGAGTTTGCAGAGGATCTTAGAGGAAAAGGATTTGTGCTTTCTATGAGAAATAATCTTCCAAAGATTGGGTTAATCTAGATAATGTGGCTGTACTGTAGGAGTCTGGACACCTGAATGACTGGGTTTTTCTGAATGAGAGAAGCCAGTCCTGACAGTGTCATGATTGGCTTTTCTGGGAAAAAAAATTAAAAATCTATGTGTATGTTATCAGAACTGGGGCACAAGCAACAGATTGTATTTTGAGCACGCTTCCAGGGAACAACCCTGTTAACCCAGCGGATCATGGAAATGTAAAAGTTCTCTGTGGGTTAGTAAGGGCTCTGTTATCAATGGGACTTTTAAACAGTGTTTTAAAACAGTTTTGATATTGGAAACTTACAGAGCTTTGAGCAAGAGTTGGAAAGTTGTCATTAACATCAATGACTTTCACATTACAGCTACAAAGGGATGATATTCCATCTGCAGCCCCATCCCGGTCTGATGCTTTCACAACAAGAGTGTAGCTGCTATGTTGCTGTCACAAAAAGAGAAATAAATATATTAGAAGACCATCTGTGCATCTGATAAACAACTCATATCTTACTACTGTTTCCTAGTGCAGGAATTTGACTTAGATGTTTTATTGTAATACATCAAAAACATGCATTTCTCCATTAATTTTTGTAAAAAACCACATGTCCTCTCTCTTCTGTTTCTTTTTTTCTCACTCTCATAACACATATACACYACAGCATCATGTTATTTCATTTTGGAAGTGGAAATGTTACCTCTCTGTCAAGGTAATTTGCAAGATGGAGCTCTCCAGTGTATTTATTCATAATGAACATGGGTGGACCAGCAGGTTCCTGACTCTCTATTTTGAAGGCAATCTTAGAATTCAAGTGGTTAGGTTCATCTGCATCTGTTGCAATGATTTTCATCACCAGCGTGTCTAAAAATAAAATATAATAACAATCAAACAAACAAAAAAAMCAAAACAAACCAGAACCCCCCCAAAACCCAGAAAATCTCTTGAGTTCCTGCAAACAACTCATGAAGACAATGTTGAAGCTTGGTGTGTGAAAATGGTAGAGGGCTATCTGTTCCTTGACATTTGCAAAGAAACCCAAAATTTTAGTTTTCTGTTACTGATTCTGACAATTTTAATGATTTTAAATGAGTTAAAAATCAAAGTCAGAAAGAATAATGAATATTTTCACTCAACTTCTTTAAATCACCATAGAGAATATGCAAATACAATAAATATTATAGACACTACTGTAAGAAATATAGCCACAGCTTTAAATGAGGATTTMTAGAAAGAAGAAAGTGAGTGTTAAGCACCATTGCCTTAATGCTATTTACATGTGAAATGCTGATTGCTGTACTTTCAGTAAAGAGCCATTTTAATGGTTGAAGTATGGAATTATTTAGTAATATTCTCTTGCAATTGCAAATAAACAGGCTACAASTACAAATATTTGAAAGAGAAAAATGGGAGAAAATATGTTTTATGTACCCTCAAAGAAAAGAAGTAAAAATTTAATAATATTTTTATTCCAATGAGAAGGAATGAAATTATTTTCTTTACATTTTCACATCTGAAAGAATTTGCATGATGGYATGGTTAGAAACTGGAACATTCAGCACTCATGTGGGAGGAAAGGGAGAAGGAAGCATTGCTGTTTAATTTATAGCAATTAACTCAGGCCCTGGCTCAAATAGTACTTGGAAAAGCATCTGCTGCTCCCTGCTCTGCAGTAGCCCTGACCAATGTATGTCATTGCCTGAAAAAAAAAAGCAGAATGAACACCCCAGGTTTTTATTAACTGTATTCTTTGAGCTTCAGAAACAATACTGTAAAAGGCACAGCGCAGTTACTTACTGTCCATGCTGCTCTCTTCAACAGATCCTGTAAATACAGTTTGAGCAAATACAGGAGGGTTGTCATTTATGTCCAGAACTCTGACTCGAAGTTCAAGAGGTGGYTCCAAATCTATACCCGTCACTGAGTGTTTAGCAAAGCAACGTATCTAAACRAAGAGATTTACTTATTTTAAAACCAAAAGATAAGGGAGCAARGTAGCAATCTGAAACAAACGAATTTGTTGTGTAGTGCTCTCTCTGCCCCACCCTGCATCCACCCATTTACATTTTTTTATCATTTATAAAGGTAAAAAGAAAAAGGAGAGTACTTACTACAAATACTGGTGTCACTTCCCTATCCACTATTGATGTGATATTAATTTCTCCTGTTCTTGGGTTAACAACAAATATTCCATAGGGTGCACGATCAATTCCAACTCCAGAGATGCTGTATGTGATTGGATTGTTTTCTTCACAGTCTGATCGGATCTACAGTAACAGATAACAATAATTTATGCCAGTTTACTGAGAACACCTGCAGGTTTTTTTTTTCCTATTCTTAGGTCTTGTAAAATATTCTATGTAACTTCAATTTCTCAACCACTTATTACAAGGTTCAGCTGACAGGATCAATGGAAGACTCTTCTACAAAGCCATCAACCTAGAGATTCCTGTCCCCTTGAGGGCTGGATAGGCTTCCTATTTTTCTGAAATCTCTCAGGAAAGTGGAGAGAGAAACCTCCAAGGGACAAGGGAGAGAACAAGGGACAAGGGAGAGAAACCACACTGTGGCTGGAGCTCAGTAAGGGCATGGTAAGAGCACAGGAAGATATTTGCTTTTCTGTTTCCCGCAAAAGTCATGCACTATCCTCAAACTTCTCTCAGGAGTTTCTAGGTATGAGAGAGAGTGAGAGAGAGAGAGAGAGAGAGAGAGAGAGAGAGAGAGAGAGGGAAGAAAAATGTCATGATCAAGCAAAGAACAAAGACATAGGTTGGAGCTGTCTGGGAAGTAGACTCATGTCAATGCTCTAGGAAGCTTCTGGTGATTCCTCAGCAGCCACATGGCTTCACCTTGTGAGGCTGTCTCAGCAGAGCTGGGAATGTTGCAACATCTTTCTTTTACTCTGCATACCTAKCTTTGGCTACTCTAAGCATATAAATTTTTAAATCTCTGCTTTTTTCAGCCTGTCTTTGGAAAAACTTCCTTGTCAGTGAATACTTGTGTTTTCTTTCTACTTACCCTGGCAATTGGATTCCTCTTGGAATTATCTTCTCCTTCCCTACATGCTGCAGCAAATTTGATCCATTCACGTTTTTGTCTTCTAAAGGTTTTCCATCTTGCCATTCCATTTTCATCCCATTCTTTTACCTTTGACAGAGAGTTCCAGTATCATGACCCCAATCCATTTAAAATTAATACAGACCATTATARTTTCCAACAATAAGGAGAATGAAGMATTTTKCRGACCATGTGCTTTTTTACATGACTGTGAGTCCCARACTCTGTGACTGGATATGTTTATTTTAAAATTATTCATTTGTATGAGATACTCATTTAGGCTTATGTGGATTTCTCTTAAGAGGGTGAGCAGGTAATTACCTGCAGCTGCTTAATATTTAAATACGTTTTTCAATCTTCAGGTTCAGAAATRTCTTAGTACAGCATCTTCAAAGTGATTTTTTCATTTGTTACATTTCATTTGATCAGAAAAACAGTTTCTAAAGAAATATATATTACCTCTACATGAAATCCTGTGCTGAAATCCAAGAGTACCTGCAAGAACAATAAAAAGATTGGCATRTAAAAATGAAAGGCAAAATGCTGCAAGCGAAACCCAATGGCAAGATGTTGTTATACTGCAGGCCAGGAGCTGTACTTTCTCTCAAGCCTATTGCAATAGCTTGTCCTAAACAGTTGCTAAAATATTTCACATGTGACTTTGTGCAATTATTTTTTTTTCTATATCCTTGAATTCCTTGACAGTTAAAACTTTCAAAACCCATTCTGTCTTTCAAGCCAGAACTTTCAGTTTGAATGCCAGAGCAGAGCAATTTTCAAGCTACWCCTTCATCAAGATACAGCTTTCACACAGATTTTTGACACCTCATGTAAAGAGAGAAGTAGTTGCAACAGTTGTTACCAAACTGTCTGGGAAACAAGAGAATATTTATCCTAAATAATTTATTCTTTTTTAATTTTTTTTTCTTATTTACAAAGTCCACAATCAACCTGGAGTACTTAACAGTATAATTTAACCAAAAAGAATGAAAATGTTTTCTTGAAACTTCCCAGTGAGATTGAAGAGATTCAATAACAGATGGAAACCCACCTGCAGTTTTCAGGCAGATTTCCCTGGAGTGCATTAGGTTTTGATTTGAGACCTAACTATGCARCTAGTCTTGAGTAAATAAWGGTGGCAGTATCAGATGCAGTATGYAGTTACTTCAAAATTAAAATTTAAATGAGAGGAGCCTCAATCTCTTGATTAGCACAATTTAAAAGAAGGCACAGCTTAATTAATTTTATCCCTGAATAAGGTGTGAAAATGAAGTTCACTTGGTGAATGTACCTCTTCATAGCCTCTCTTTTGGGTTTARGATCTGCTTCTGCTCTCTTCAGACAATAAAGGGTGAAGAGTATGGGATTTGCAAGACTGGATGCTTGTCTCATTCATCATTGGAAGAAACAAAATATCCAGGTGACTGAAAAATTATTTCAGAGTTTCTCTTTTCCCAACAAATGTTAACAGCTGCAGCTATGAGTTTTTCTCTTCCTTATCATTTCCCATAGCTTTTTGTTTTGTTTTGGTTTGTTATTTTTTTTGTCTGACTTTTTTTTTTTTCTGTGGAGTTTTATGTCAGTTATACTCGGATAAAATCTGTGACAATCTTTTATGCTATCATTACATCATGGGACTTTCCTCACTTCAAATTTATTGCATTGTACTGGCAAGGCTGGAACACAGACAGAATTTTTTCCACTTACTTCATGTTAAGACAACTTCTTATATGCAACAGACTAATGAACAGCAACTTCACCCGTCTTCATCTCTCTTTTCCCCATTTACCTTTATGGTGCAAGAATTCACCATCTGTCATTCACAAAACAATGTTTCCAATGATTGGTTTTGCCCAAAACATTCCCTGACACCTTTTCCTGCAATRGCTGCACTAATCTACTTCTGAATGRAGGAGTTTAGACTGTGGATTTGCCTATTTGATGTGCAGATAGCTTGAAATTTATTGGGCTATTCACRGAGAAAGGATTTTTTGTTTGTTTGTTTGAGCAAGGTATTGACATAAATGGTTAAAAAAAGTACTCTGCAGAAAAACCACTATAATATGTTCACATTGTGCTAAAAGCATCAATACATATTTTAATTGATGTTGAGTTTATGACTATTTAAGATTTCAGCTTCAGAATAGGTTTCAAATTCATGTGCAACCGTTCCTCATCTCAGAGAAGGGACAATATCAAACTCTGTGTGAACAGCAGGGATTGTTCACCCCAGTGGAAGCTCAGGTCTGTCCTTTTATAGTCCCCCTTGGAATCTGGGGGAACATGGAAGAGTCAAAGGGGCAGATTACACCCTCACGAGAGAGCCTGAGTGATGAGGTGCACCAGAAATAACACTAATTGAACGTCTCTTATCAGTCTATCCCACAGGCAGAGCACAATGAGATCCTCTCCACCCTTAGGCTGAAATCCCTTCTGGCATGCAAACAATTGTCTCGACCCAGCAAAGTATGGGTGCCCACGTCCCAGTGCAGTGTCAGTGAATCTTGTCTGCTGTCTGCATCCTATCGTGTTACCTAACAGTGAGACTAACACCCCACACCCAGCCACATCACTCTCATACTCCGAAAAACTCTTTCCAGTTTTTTCTGAAATAAGAATTATGCCTGTAAAGAATTCTATTACTTAAGGACATGAAATAAGCCTTTTGATTACAGCCTGTAAGGAGTTCTGTTTTCAAGCAGTGAAAAAATACATATTTTACGCTGGAGTATAATCCTTTCTTTCTGAGCACCAATAAGGGGAACATGAGGAATTTGTCCATTGGTGATGCTGGGGATTGTAAATTTAGGCCCTGTATTTCCACACTTGTCCTGTGATAGCTAAGGAAAACTCCAGTCTGCTACTTGTTCCTAATGGAAGGTGTTGAATTCAGAGTCCTTAGTACAGTTTGTGTTATYATTTGAAAAGTCTGATCTGATGAACTTGATGTCTGTGTGTGGTATGACTCTCAGTTCTGGCTGTGGTGTAGGAAGGAGGGCAGGCAGACATCAGACAAAAATRTCTAGTTCATGAGATAAACCCAAGCAATTCTGAAATGACATTTATCCAACTTGACCAGGGATAGAGGCTCCTCTGCCTCCCCAACTAATGTCTTCCTGCTCTCCACTGTCACCAGCAGTTAGAAGACTTCCCCTAACCTAATTGTCTATTTCTAACATAGATCTGAGATGCAAACCTTTTTTTTCTAGTGCCATTATCAGCAGATAAGTTCTGTCTCCTATCAGCTAATTGCCAGCATACTTCTATGTAGTCAAAAAAATTCCCTTCTAAACCAGTATCTAAGCACAGTACTTTCCATAGGCTCAGAAATAAACAGTAATTAAAGCAATCAGAGCCACTGGAATGTGTGGGATGCATCCTGAGGACCTTGGGGTAGGCAAGGTGGTCAGAATGATGCCAAGATTTGCTGTCCTGTTAGATTCTGAGAGACTGTAAAAGAGGAAGCTGCAGAGAAGCTAGGGGCTGGTTGCACAAGCTGTTTCTGTTTTGGGTTGGGAGATGGGCAGGCAGGAAACATGTTCATGGTTTTTGTCATTTGCACAGGGTCTGTCTCAAAGCTTGTCACACACCTGGGCCCTGTGTCCAAAAYGACACCTTAGAATCACACTGGAGTTACTCCAGATTTATTCTGATGTAATTGGGAACAGAATTAGGCCCATAGGATGTGTATGGTCCTTTGCACCTTCAAAGCAATTTACAAACAAGAATTAACTAATCATTAATTGAGTACCAAGCAATATCAAACGTAATTAYGGAATCCTCCCTCCTCCACCTACTCAAATCTAAATGACTGAACACGCCTTTAACATCTTCCCAGCATTATTCATATGGGATCTGCTTCTCTCTCTTTGAAGTCAACAGTGGAATTGTTGTTGGCCTGGAAGGGAGGAGTGCTGAGAACTCACACATATTGTGTTAGTCACCAGGCTGCTGTGGTAGCTCTGGTACTGTCAGCATTTTGGGACTTTTACGTCTTTCTTACTCATCCAAAGCCCTGACTAGAAAAGGGTTGCAATAATGAACCCTTCCCATTATTCATTCTGCATCTCTTTAAAAAATGATACATCAGTGCCTATGAAATAATGAGAAGCAGAGTTCAAACATAAGACAAACCCTCATATTTGAAAAATATATMATTTGATCACTTTTTAATTTAAACATATTGTTTTCTTTTTTTCTGTGCTTTACCTTTTCATATGTAACTAATGAATATACTGCTTCAAATTTTAAGGGGAAGACTTTCGGGAATATTTTTCTGGCATTTTGTTTTCTTTTTTCATAGGAGGTCAGGTGTTTCCTGTGTTAGCAATATTTTGAATTGCACCCAGGATGGAGAATCCATTACTGTTTCMATAATTGTGACAGGAATAATTCAGGAATTATGACAATGCTCATGTMAGGCTGAAGAATCTATTCTGACTTTCTATTTATCTTAAAACAAGTTTTTTTCAAAGAACAGACCACTTTGGGGAAGTTTCCACTGAGATTTTTTCTGTTCTGCTATTGTATCTTCTATTGCATGCAGCAATACGGCCACTGAACTTAACCATTAGAAAAATGAACAGAAAAGTAATTTCAATATTGGGTGCATGCCATTATCATTAAAATTCGAGTTTTCCAATTAGTCATGCTAAGTGACCTTAATAAAGCTCCTCCATAAAACCTGAATTCTGATATGACTGAGTGCTCTGTCAAATGCATGTTTGCTTAACGGCCATTTTACTTAGGAATGTAAAACTGCAGGCTTAAGTACCTGATCTCAGGTGATAACTCCTGGATGTGGAATTGCTTTAGTTTCTACTTCTACAACAAAATTATTTGRCAGAAGAACCTGCAGGTTCCTGATTCAATCCTGGCAGATGTTTCATATGAATATACAAGAAGAGGATTTAGCTCCTGACTGTTTTTACATGCAACCAAGCTATGAGTAGGATATGTAACCGGAGCCTAAAAACTGCATGGGGAAAAAATGAGCATAGATAACACATGGGAAAATGTTGCCAGACAAAAGTGCATAAGAAATGTGGTGAATTTAAAATTATTGGCTGTCACATGATAGCTGGCAGGAGAAGAGTCATACCTGATCAAACAGGTTATTTCCATAAAACGTGTCTGTGCTAGTATCACAAACAGAACTCCCTTACTCATGAGAATAATGCCTTTGAAGTCACATGAGCAAGGGTTGCAGAATCAGTCCCACCAATGGTGAAATCCGTAAATAAAATTATTTTTTGAGGGCTGTTAAATTTCCTTTTTTTTTGAAAATGCAGTAATGTACTAAAATATGTATAAGTCCATGGTAATTTTATTTGATGCTGCTTATTAACAATATACTAACTAGACACACCATTCAGACAGGTGATTTTCATGAAAGATTAGCCAAGCTGAAAGCCAAAATTCTTCCTCAGAATACACTAGAACTGGATACATAAATGGATAATTGATTTGACCTCTACAGTTTGTCTGCCACCTTTTCATAAAGTGCTGAAAGACGCTGTTAAGCCACWTGGGCCATCATGAATAGTGCTGGGTAGAAGAACACATAACAAATGTTTCCTCTGAGTAGCAAAAGTTCAAACATTTGATAGTCATCAAAACACAACGACATTTTTCACAATTGCTCTTTTTTTCTGACCCAACACCTACCCTCTGTTATTTGCAATTGTAATAATAACAATAATAATAATAATAATAATAATAATATGCTCAAAGAAAGAAAATGGCTCCAGAGTTGCTGGGAGAAGTAAAGCAGTAAAATCTCTTTTGAATGAATGGATCTTAGACAAAATGCAGTGAAGCTTTTTGAACTTCGACACACTGGGAATATGCATCAGCAGGTAATTGAGTGAAATGAATAGTCACCAGGGCTACATGAAAATCCAGAAGTGTGAGTGTGATGTGCAACAGGCCAGTCTCAGACACCTCTGTGCTGCCTTAAACAAGCAGAAACTTATCCGAGCCATAACTTRCTTTTGCCAAGTTTTGCCCTTGTTTGCTTGGCAGCTGCTCTGTGTTAATTTGTTCTACTTTTCTGATTGCAGAGCTGTCACTTAAAATTAATGGATTATATTTTCAAAATGGTTTTAGAATTTCTTMTTGTATAACACAAACTTTTTCTTGGATTATAATATTTCTATAGGAGTCAGTAATGAAAGTCAACAAATACTTATGCTTACTAATACACTGTGTAAAATGCAAAACTGAGTAAAAACCACAGTACATAACTATAGCAGAAATCCCACTCTTCTCAATCTTCAGGGCCTTAAACCTCTACCTAATTTCAGAAGGTCATCACAGATGAATAAAATTAATCCACACAAAAATCAGATTGCAGGAGCAGTAAGGCATCCATAGCCCTTTTAAGTCCCTTCTGGGTAATTTCCATGCTTTGATGAACACACTGAACAACTATGCCATTTGACCATAGCCACAACTTTCCTTTTACAGTGAGAAAAACAAACCCAAAGATCAACACTTTCATCATGCATTCACTTGCTCCAGCACATGGCGGCTCAGACACTAATGCACTACATCACAGGAATCCTTTGCAACGTGAAATAATAGGCCAAGTCTTGATGTTTCCTCAACTGAAACCTTCAGTAAATTTTGTCATTTTTTTCCCCTTGAATATAGCTGTAGGACTTTGTCAGCTCTGAAGCAATCTTGCTAATCAGTTTAGAAAAAAGACATTTGAATATTTTAGAAAAATATTTTTCCTCAACTGATAAAAAAGACTGAACCAAATTACGTTCAATCGTTGCATTTTTATAATAATAARCATTTTATTAATATCTGTGACCCCTTAAATACTAGCCACAGAAAATATTTTCCTCAAAAGTCATGCAGTAAATATAGAAAGTCACATCTTGAACAATAACAGGTTGCAGAAAGTCTAAAAAGAAACATTTGTCAGTGTTTTATGAAAAGCTAATTTAATTCTATAGAATGTTTGCAAATGCTGTTTAAAAGGAGCAGAGCTTTGGTTTTTATGGCAAATTCCACAAGACATTTTTGGGAAGYAGTTTCACTGTCAAATGTAATGGTCTGCTGAGAAAGACGAAACTGGCGTAGGCACAGAGTTTACAAATACTGTTTTAAAATCGGACTTACCAACAAAAGGAACAGAAAAGCAGCCGTTCGGTGAGGGAGCCAATCCATGGCATCTGCCTTCTCAGAAACAAGTCCAACTGAGTTCTGGTTACAAGCCTGTTCCTGTCCCCCTCCCCCCCCCAGCTCTGGTGACTTTTTAAAAAGGCACTCGGTATATGTCCTTATACTCAGCCCTTCAAGGTGTCTCTGCCTCCCTCTGAGGGAAGAACTGAAGATGCTGTATAACAGAGTGTCTTTCCCCACCCCAAAATCCTGGGCTGGTCTCACCTKAAACGCTTGACAACATCATTATTGCTCGCAGGTAAAAGCTAAGAGACACACCTTAATTCTTATTGCACTGAAACCCTTTGTTGGAWACGAAAAGGTACGATTTAAAAACAGAAGGCAAGCTTTGCTAAGAAGATACCGAGTGATTTATAAATTACTCACAACATAAAGAATCATTAAAATGGTAACTTATCATTGCTTCGAATGCAACTTCTAGTTTTCTCTTTGCACCCAGTATAATAGAAGATTATTATTAATGAATATTACCATAAAGAATATGGACTCTGAGAAATTATTCGTTTAAATTAAAAGCCCATTTGTTTACTTCCAAGCACAAGGAAGTCAGTTCTATGCACGTTGTTCATAGAAGTGAAGCACACACAGAAAAATGGGGCTGTTGGTAAAGAGTTAACATATTAATTTTGGGGAAAAAGTACTTTATTCATGAGGCTACAAGAATATCTGAAGCAAAGGAAGAAGTCTTTCTGCTTTCGCCAGCTGCAAAGCCTCCTCATGCCATACCTTTCCCTYCCAATGGGTTGTGCTCTCGCTGACACAGTGGAGAGGGAGAGTGCCAGAGAAACTGGAGAGCTGCTCAAAACAACAGGTAGAGGAGRAGAGAGAGGATGTGCTGCACAGCTCTCTTCTGGCTTCATTTTGGATGCCAGGAGCACAGTGGTGTATGGGGTGAAGAAATTAAAGAGGACTCCCCACTTTCCCCTCTGTTCTGCAGCACAGATGCCATAAGTGCCTCCTTGCGTCTTTGGGACCCCTGAACCACCCCTTAATGGGCAAAAAAATGTTAGAGGGACCTTCTGCTCTGCTCTGAACCTGGGAGGGGGGTGCACATTTCACCCCAAAAGTGCAAGACCACTGGTGTGTTCCTGAGCCCCCCATGGTGCTCAGCACCTCCCAGGGCTGGGCTTGAGCTGGGAAAAGAGGGCTCAGCACCTCTGGGACTGCTCAKCCCCTGCCAGGGTGAGGTCCCATGCTCCTGCTGGGTAAGCAGCTTTGCAGCACRACGCGTCTCCATGCCACTTAGCACGGGCACTTTGCTGTCTTGCAACTGGCTGGAGCTGCCAAAGCCAGTCGTGCATGTCCCCATTGTCACTCAGGTCTTGGTACCGTGCTCAACGTGCCCAGCAGTGAGTCAGTGAGGCAAACTGGGAGGGGCAATGTTAAATGGATCATATCTGGATTTTTCCTTTTCTGGGAAATTCTTAATCATCTGGAATTTGCTTTTGTATTAAGTAAAAATAGTTAATTATTGTACATATAAAATAAGCATATAATTTTATGAGCCCAAGTGTCTTATTTCAGAACATTTGCTTAATCATATATTTTTTAAAAAGTAATTTAAATAACACTTTTCCTTTTAGATTTTCAGTTGTTTGATTTGGAGGGTTGTGGTTTTTCATTGTTTGCAGAATTTGGAACATTATTTGAAACATTATTTTTGTATTTTTTGCTCTTTCATATCAGACTGATACCCAAGAAAGGCTGAGAGTGTGTATCACTCTAAACTGCTCCTGGCAGTGCTGAAATTCCATTTTGACCACTGGATAGAAGAAGTTATTTCTTGCAAAATTTTTACAGACCAAAATATCCCTTAGTGTGCCAATTTTTTTATTATAACAGAAGATAATTTGATCTACAAAAGATGATTAAACTCCTCAAAAAGAATGACAGTCCCAGCAGAAGTGAAAAGTGCCAGCTGTCACACTCTATCCTTCTGTGGCATGCATTGTTATRAATAGTTATCAAAACACGGACTTATCAAAACAGATAAATAAGAACAATTCTTCAATGGAAAAACTTGTCATGAAATTTCAAGACAAATGTTAAAATAATATAATTTTCACATTAACAATATTTTAAAATAGTTTATTGTAAATGAAAATGACTGAAAAATGTACAGTAGTTTGATCCATCTTGAAGAAGAAATTTTAATCTACTAACCATTATCCTTTTGGAATATAGGAGTTAATGAGACAGTACAAGTGGCATCCACCTATTAGTAATTTTTTACTCTGGATACTTTCCTTTATATTCTGGATGAAGGGTTTTATGTTTTTTTTCTCTTACCTCTGTTAGCACCTTACAAAACAGTAGAGGAAAGGGTCATGGATCATTTTGGAAACAGAATTATATTAAAAAAAAAGGGGATTTAGTGCAGTTAATTAAAACTTCACTTTTCTTTCCATAGGAAATATTTTTCAATTTTTTTTTTTTGTTATCAAAAATTCAATCTGTTACCTACTGATATTACAGAGCCAGTTGAGAATCCAGATCCTAGTGACTCTCATTTGCAGGAATTAGCTAAAGCATTTGAGTGCCTCAGAAAGCACCYTATTTCCATGGCAATGGTCTTGGTTTTTAAAACACATCTCTTTCTTGAGTCAGTTTTTAAAAATGGTTCTCCAAGGCTGCAAGAGTMCAAGCCTCCAGCTGATTTCAAATCTTATTCATCTGTATTTGATGCGGTCAACTTTCAGACAAATATATATATATACATACACACATTTCAGTGAACTTTCTGAGCATCTCACAGGAAAATATTTGGTCCYGCACCCCTCCTGGCACAGTCCCCAATATGAGTCATAACTGTGCCTGTTGTGGGGTTCCGAGAGGAGGCTTTTGATCTGTCAATAATGAGCAATTTCCCCCTCGAGGGTCTTGTATCTACCTGAGATAATAATGAACACACACCCTAATACTGCACTGTCAAATTAACCTTCCTGTATGGGAGGTGAAAAACCTAAACAACAGAAACAATTAAACTTTTCTGCTCTAGGTTTACCCTCTTGATTAAAGGAAACGTGTTTATCCAGCAGTTACCTGGAGAATCTGTCATACTTAAGTTAACAAAGACCTCCATTCTGAAAGAGAAAGCCAGYCTAAGTCCTGAACTATCTGTTTTCTGGCAAACACCCAGGAATGYGGATTGAAATTATTTTATCAGTGTTACATTCAGACCTGTATGGATGGCTACAAAGTAATAGCAAGAGAAGGCAAAAGAGAAATGCTATGAGCTCTATCCAAGCAACGTGCAATGAAGTCGGAATGATTTATCTTGTTTTAATATGAGAAACCCAAGACACAGCAAGATGCAGTGACCTGTCTGAAATATCTGTGCACAGCAGGGAGGGGACTCTGTCTCACCTGGGGCACTTGAAGATAATTTATGAGGGGCATGTGGCAATGCACTCACCTCTGATACATCTTATTTTATATTTATGGACCTGAAGCTCCTGGGAATTGTTTGRCAGGCAAGGCACACAGACACGTTTTGCTATGCTCATGGTATACAGGTTTCTGTTTCATCACATACTTGTGTTTTGATATATTAAAGGAATCTCACTGAGATATCAGCAGGATCACTGCTGTTGCTGATAAAACTTTAATGCAGTATGGGCTTTTCCTGTCACGATTATTTCAGATTGCTAAGCATACATATCATTCCAAAAGAATTTCTCTCATTGTGTTATCAACTCATCTGTCTGGGTATGAAATTGAATGCTAAAATTTTGTCAGGATCATGCCAAAGGCAATTTTCAGTTTCCTCAGAWTAGATGATTTTCATCTATTCATTCAACGTACTGCTGCTAGTGACTGTTGATCATAACAATCATGATGATAAAAATGTCATTTCAGAGATGCTGAAAATGTGTGGGGCAAACCTAGGAACACAACCAGAAAGACAGCCTTGCAAATAAACTAGCAAATGTGTATAAGAAAAAGTGTGCAGAAATAAGAATGATTAAAGCAAAACGATCATGAAATTGTTCTCTCTCAGTTTATGCCTGTCATCTCTGTCAAACCTTTGGATTCAACAGCAACAGAAAAAATATTTGGAGTACCCTGTACAGCAGTCACCTGCTATTTTTTTTCCAAGCAGTTGGAAAAAACTCTCTTGTCTGCTTTTTAATTCTCCCAATATGGGGCACTGTTTTTCTCTTATTTATAATGAACAGTTTGTGATTTTTATCTTCTGATGAAGCCAAGTTCAGTGGCTCAGGGGTCTGCAGAAGGGTCTAGGTTTGCATGCAGGTTAAGGATTCTTGAATGAGTTATTGCTGTATCTCTCCCAGAATGATGAGTCCCACCACTGAGACAGTCTTGCATCTCTGCTGTTCCAACCATGGCAGTATTTCCCAGCTCCAGGRACTGACTGCCTGGCCTAGGAACTCTCCAAGACCCATGTCCAAACCATGCTGCTCCCTTAAGTTTTCTGAGTAAGGCAGGTCTGCAATGACAGAGCAGACTTCTGGTATAAAATAGAACTTTCACTGGCATGGCAGCGTCTGGGAGGTGRTATCAGAGAATACACAAAGTGCTGACCAGAGAAGTCCTTCAAAGGTCTTCCAATACAATGGAAAATCAAGAAATTCCTTAGAGAATCCAGCCTTTCCCGTCTCTCTCAAACTCTAGTTACCCTCTCACATGCATTATTATCTCCAAAAAAGGAAAAATTAATTGAGAAGGCAGAATTCACTTATTACTGAAATCATCCCAAGCTTCTTCACTCTTTTTACCTCTTACATAAAAAGAAGCTGAGCAGATTTTTTTTTCCTCTCATTGAGTTTACTTAGCCTGTCTTCAGTGTCTAGAAAGGAAAAACTGAAGGTAGGGTAGTAGACATCAAATAGTTTCTAGAAAGCAGTAGCAATCCAGGAGCAGTAAAGATAAAAGAGATTTTTGCTCAGGTAGTGAGTTTCATGTGTAATGGCCAATGTCACAAATTATTCCTTTAAAGAAAGGGATGATGATCACCTTAATTTCTTTTTCTGAGTTTTGCTGCTGATTGATTATTTCTGTGTTTGGTTTTCAGAAACCACATGCAGCAGCTCCCACTCCCTCCAACAAGATCTGGTGATTGGCTTTGGCCTTTTAGCAACTTGTCTCTCTAAAACAGTGGATGCAGTGGTGTATAGAAGTCTGGTATTTGTCCAGACTGGATTT